ATTGCTAAATTAAATTTGTATTGATCAGATTGATAATAAATAGGTATATTAAAATTTTAAAATTTTTATATTTTTTAATTTAATAAACATAATATTAAAAATATTTAAAAATTAATTTAAATGAATACTAATGATCAAATAAAGGTAAAATAAAGGATCAAGATTCCTCTTAAGCTTGATGAGCACGCGGCGCTCAACGAATGCAATTCCATTAAATGGATGGCTTTGAATTAACATTAATGAAGATGGTGAATGAAATGAAGCACGGAAGCATGTACAAATATAAAAATACTAAGTGATTGAATTAATGGAGCAAGACACTTCTTTACCTTCTTTCACGAGAAAACTACACCTCAGCAAATTAAAGCTGGGGACTGGTCGTGCTTCTTGTCCAAATCTGCGTTCCAATAAATATCTCTTTTAATTTGGAAACTTTTTTGGTGATAAAAAAAACAATAAATACCTTTCCATTACTTTCCAAGCAGTTTTTGAAGTTTTAAATTTTTTTTTAAAATGAAGTGCTAAGTGAACAAATTGGTAAACTTTACAAAAGAGGTTAAAAAAAAGATCTAAGGACCTATTTGATTATTAAAAAAAGAAAGAAATAGAATGGATTGAAAAAATAAAGATCAAAATGAGATGATAAAAAAAATAGTGAACCACATTTATAAAGGAAATAAATAATTTAATTCATAGAGTTGTGAATTATGATTCATCAAATTTTTAAAAGGTGCAATGATTTTTATATTTATAGTATATATTAATAAGTTTTATCATGCTTACCATGAAAATAAAGGGTGATTTAATTCATTTTTATATTAATCTTTTTAATTTATTTTATTCTATTTATTTCTAATAATCAAACGGGATTTAAGTGTGTATTTTTCTTGCAAAAGCCTCTATATTACTATGATATTTAATATAAGATGAAGTTAACCAACTTCATGCTTATTAAAAAATGATAATTATATCTTTAAAATTATTTAAAAAGATATATAACTTTTTAATTTTATCCTCATTTGAAATTAATAGCCATATCAAATTATATTCTATGAATTAAAAGAATAATTAATAAAAGATAAAATTAAAAAATAATTATTTTGACTTCGTCTTATATTAAAAAAAAATTCAAGCTTTATTTTATATTAAAAGTCCAGATGGAGTAGTATATAGCTTCTAGTTCTAGAGTGACAACTTGTAATTAAGATGCTTTAAAATTTTGAAACAAGAATCTATGTAGCTAGATACATTCTAAATATATTTCAAAAGTCAATGTAAACGTGTGCGCGCGCTAAACATCAATATATTTTTTTTTTTGGCCAGAGTTAAACATCAATATAAATCAAACTTCAAACATAAATATATATGTTAAGATGAATTCAGAGTAATGCTAATTGATTACCTAATCTAAATTCAGCGTCAGCGTCTGAAGTCGTCTTTTTAATGTTTCTATTCCAATTTATTGGATGTTGCTGCTCATCATGCCCCTCCTCCTAAATAGGTACGGGCGTGTATTCACATTAAGTTAACTAATTGACTTTAGGATTCACTTTAAACCCATTATTAAAACCCAAAATTATTAGCCTAATCCAAATGTTAGACATTCAAAACAACATCTAATATTTTCATTAGAGTCAGATTGGTGGCTGGAATCAACATCATTTTTGAACCCCAACCAAAAAACACCCAATAATTTCCATGAAAATGCCCTAGAGAGAAGAGAAGAGAAGCTTACACATGGATTTTCTAGCTTCAAATAGCGTCTAATACCTGATTCTAGCTAGCTCTAACAAAGGAGAGTCACCCTTCTCTAACAGAGGAGAACTTAAAATCCTACATGTCTGTCACAGTGCATGACATATCTAGCATAATTTGGGCTCAATGTGGCCCAATATCACCTAGGTACAATCTTAAACCTTATGTAGGGTCCAATAGTGGTCATCCATAGGACATAACTTAACACTCAATTATTTTTATTAATTATATTTAAAATTTTAGGACATTACACTAAGAATATCCATAATTGGTCTTCGACAAAGAGCTTGAGATTCATTTGAGGGTGCTTGTCCGTGAATGGATGGATTTTTTTTTTTTCATGAGTTCCCTATAGAGAAAGTTTAGTAGAGAGCTTAGTCCTTTTTGTTTGTCTCTGATAGTGGACGAAGGTCTCCTTTGCTATTTGCATCCATGAATGGAGGGGTCCTTTGGACCTTATTGGGCCTTTTCTCTAGTACTTCGTTTTTAGCCCCTTTCCTTGTTATTTATACTCCTAATTCTTTATAATCATCATAATTTAAACAAGTGACATATTTATGCTTATTTCTCGCTCTTTTGTGTATTAATAAGTTACTAAAAGAACAAAAATACATATTTAATTGGGGTAAAATAACCACTTATTACTCAATTTATTTTTTTCCTTTTATTTTCTTCTTTCTTTTGCATCCCCTTCTAAAGAGGTCCTAACAAATGATCAATCAAAAGCATAAACATATACAAATAGATATTATAACCATTCTCACTAGAGATTCTTAAATGGACCCAGTGCACCACGTCATTTATAGTTTATCTAATTAAAAACATGCCACTTTTAGCATCAATTCAATCAAATAAAATCTTTTGTATCAATATTTTTATTGACATTATTTTTGGAATTTATTTTCTTAATTTTCTCTCTTTATAATCATCAATGGCATAATAAATTTATATTAGCAATAAGTTATGGGTGAGGGTGGTTATAATCATAATTTCTCATGATTCTACACGCACATACAAAAGATAGGCTACAACCTAGATAAAGTTCACCTAATAAGCAATACTAGATTTGTCAGCCCAATAAAAGACAGAGCAACCGACACACACATATATTGACATAGGAAAATAGGCAAGAAAAAAAAACTTCTAAAGCATATAATGTGCATAAAGAACATCCTTTAAGAAGAATGAGATCAGATCGTGCAATAGATCAAGGAACGTTAAGAAAATAATGATAGAGAACACAAACAGATCAAAAGAAGAAAGTGGAAAAGAAATAGATTCTGGTAAGGATTTAGACTCCATGAGAACATGACTCTTGAACACAAGAAAAGCAAGACACAAATTCTCTCTAGCTCTTTAAATAAAAAAAAAAAACCAAGACAGACTCACAATATGATAAAAAATGAAATTCATTCAAGTCTCTATTTTCCAAAGTACAAAAGTGGTTAAATAGGAAACTGGAAGGACAAAATAAAACCATAAACCAAAATCCTACCATAAGTGGTGCCATTTTACATTAAAGATCCCATTAAATGCTGATTACAAGTCAAAGATAATACCTCCTTATACTACCAAAATAGGAAACTAAATTTTCAGCAATTATTTCGGGAGATAGAGTTCTAGAATTTTAATATGATAGTAACTAAAATTCCTAACTTAATTCGCAAGCCATTGACCGTCATATGGCCTTATTTAATGACAAGTAAAAAGACCAAAATATCCCTAAATCATATTGAAAATATTACTTTGTAAGGTCACATGATGTGCACATGACTTTTATGGAGTAATTCGAGTTGAACTTCACCTGGTCCATGATCTTCTTCTAATACTAGGACCACCATGAATTGCATACATCGAAAAGAACACTATAGCCCTAGGCCTTGTTTGAACGTCCAAAATGAGATCCAAGATAAGCATCACGTTCTCAACCTCCCTTAGCCCTTTACAACATGTGTTAGGGCTTAAATAAGGAAGATTAAGGCCCCATTTTTCACTCATTCCATGTGATATGATTGGCTTGGGCTTCCAATATATTGAAATTCACTTCAGTTAGCCACTTCTAAACTCAAAAATAGTTTTCTTGCCATCGGGCTATCTTGCGCTAAATCTACCACTTGAATTTTGTTGTTTAAAATCCTCCATTGGAGTAATGGCTAATTTATAATCTAATGGCATGTAAGTTCTTTTATAAGTGAATTATCATATCAATCAATACAATTAAAAATCAACAGAGACATGCAAGACATGAAAAGGGATAAATCTAAAAGCCCGAAAAAAATTGCTTTGTCCTATGATCATCTCCACAGCTTCATGAGCATCACTAACCTGCAAGATGAAACATATTTATTATTAAAAAAAACCATGAACTTCAATGAGAATAAAAAAGAACAATGTTTTATTACAAATAAATTTTACAAATCAATACACACACACAAAAAATTGGCTATTAGATTTAAAAAGAAAAAAGAAAAAAGGGGACGGTACCTCTCAATTTTATTAATTACCGTTATTACACAGATGATTTAAACCAAACCAACAAAAGAAAACACAAAAACTAGAACCTAGCTTAGACATTCCAAACATATGACCACTGTAAATGATTGTTAAAGATGCAAGTCAAACAATTTGTAAGATTTTAAGTTGCACGATGAATGTGAATGTTTGCTATGAAAGCTAAAGTTATTAACAAGGTCATGTGAAGAAGTTTTGAGGCCTAAGGCAAATTATTAGTGAAGCATAACACGTGTAATTGTCCCTTTCAATTTTTTTTTTACAAAATCATATATTAAAATATTATAATATAGTAATTCTAATAAAATACTCTATTAATTTGATAGATAGATGAAAATTATTGTTCACAAAGTGCTCCTACTCTGTCTTATATATAGGAATAGAATGTAAATATTACCATTGATATGGGATGGTATACTTTTAAACAAAAAATATGATTAAGATTGATTATTTCAATGATTAATGGGAAAAATATAAATTTATACAAGATTTTAATTAAACTTAAGGGTGTTGCCTTAATGGTCTAAAACTACATGGTCTTGACATTGATATTTGTCAATATTTTAGGCTTTGGAATAAAAAAAAGCAAAAAATGTAGTGCAAATTAGTGTATTTTGAATTTTTCTATTCTTTATATATATATATATATTGGGCTCAGTTCAATCATTAATGTTGGAATAATTGAAACTTTTCAATGGCAAGAACAACTAATATTTTATTCTCTTTAATTTATAATTAAATATATCACAGCATCAATATCAATTACACATATATAATAGGGGCATTAAGAAAGTTTTTTGGAGGCTTGAGGCAATTGCCTCACTTGCCTTGTGGCTTACACAGCCATGGTTATTACATTAAATACATCAATGGAAAAGAACCAAGGGATTTCTAGCTGCAATGTTGTTTAGTTGAAATTGGCTATATAAGATTGACCACCTATGATTGGCTTGAAGCAATTGTTGCTGAACTTTTTGTTGATCTTCTGTCATTTTAGACTTTTCTTTTCTTACATTCTCAAACTCTTTCTTGAGCTCAATCATCTCTGCAGCACAATTCTTCTTTTTCTCTTGAAGAGATGATACTTCAGCTTCACAATCTAGTATCTCTCTATCCAACACAGAGATATGTTCCTTCAACTTGGTCTCCTTTTCTTGAGCTTCATTCAAAATCTTGGAAAATTTGTTTAACGTAGCAAATGCTGGCTTGGAAAAATATATTATACTAGTGAAATTACTATGCAGTGATTGTATTGCATCTTTAACTCCATGGGATAAGATTGCATCTTTGAAAGAAAGGTGAAACAAGAAGTTGAGAGCATTGTGAAGGCAAAGACTGTTGGAATCTGAAGTTACTATGTCCTTAAGAGGCATCTTCAGACAAGCTTCCAAATCCACAAAGGCCTTTGCCACTGATTGATCATCATCAATGTCTTGAAGGTCTATTATGGAATTTGCTTTAGTGTCTTTATCAATGTCCATCTCAGTTCCTTTGAACTTGATCTGATTCTAAAGGAAAATAGATCATTTAAAGAAGCATTATTTAAATAATTACAACATCTAAAAAAGTATTAAAATCTTTAGCTTACATTTGAAGATGCTTCAGGCAGAGAAGTAAAACTTTCAATCCTTCCCCTATCATCCTGCACAGAGTAAAAGGTATGTGAGCTTAGTAATACAATATTTGAATAGGTTAAAAGAGTTCTTCTACATTTTTCTTTGATATATTGTCCTCTTAAACACTTTGTTCTGCTGGCTCTTCAAAACTCTCTAGTAGAGGAAAGTGAGAATAAGTTATTGTGCATGGCATTTATGTATATAATCAGGTTAGATACATAAACACATTTCTTTTACTCTGCCATGAATTTCATTATTACTCATTTGAGTTTCTCCAAACATTATTACTTGTACATCACTAGAGGATAATTTGGCAATTGCTCAATAATCAATTCAGAATTTGTTGATGAAGATGGAATTGTTTTATCTATTTTGAAACTAAGCATTGTTTCTTTGAGACTTTAACTAACAACAAATTTGAAAAGGTAATATTAGAATTATATCACATATACTATAAGATAGGGTGCAAGCCATAAGGTCTTGAGATTGAAGATATATACCTTTGTTAGGTTTTGTGAAGTAATTGGTGGCACAGATTGGTTAGTTTTAAGCTCTATAGAAAGATGACCAATCTCTGATATTGCTTGGACATTAGTTTCTTTACTATGAATTTTTTCAGTGGTTTCTCTACAATATCCTTTCTTGTACTCACTATTATCTTCCAATCTAGATTGCACTATTTGATGAGCATCCAGGTCAATGTAGTTATGCTGAAATTGGCTACACCGAATAGACCAATTATGATAAACCCCAAACAATTGTTGCTGAAATTTCCTTTGATCTTTCACCATTTCAGACTTTTGTTTCCTTACATTCTCACATTCTTTTTTGAATTCCCTAATTTCAACAGCACATTTCTCTTTTTGCTTTTGAAGAGATGATATCTTGGCCTCATCACATTGCATCTCTTTCTTCAACCAAGAGATTTGTTCCTTGAACTCAACATCCTTCTTTCCTAATTCATCTATAAACTCTTGAACAATCTTCCAATCACTATATGGTAGAGTGAAATATTTAGACCTTTGTCTAAGTACATTCTCCCTCTCTTTCTCGAGCTCAATGATTTCTGTAGTACACTTATTCATTTTCTCTTCAAGAGATGATAATTCAGCCTCACAATCTTGAATCTCTCTCTGCAGCATAGATATATGTTCCCTCAACTTGGATTTCTTATCTTGAGCTTCATTCGAAAGCTTGGAAAATTTGTTGAACATAGCAAATGCTGGCTTGAAAGAATACATAATGCTTGGGGAATCTTGGTGCAATGATTGTATTGCAGCTTTAAGTCCATGGGATAAAGCTCCATCTTCAAAAGAAAGGCCAGAGAGGAAGTTCAGAGTAGTAAGGAGGTGAAGACTATTGGAATTTAAATTTGCTATGTCCTCAAGAGGCATCTTCAAACAAGCTTCCAAATCCACAAGGGCCTTTACTAAGGGGCTTGTTTCAACATCTTTATCAATGTCCATCTCAGTTCCTTTAAACTTGATCTGATATTAAAGAAAAATATAGCATTTGAAGAAGCATCAATCTTAAGTAGTTGCAACATATAAAATGTACTAAAATCTTTTTTGGAAAAAACAATTAATGGGATAAAATTGAAGCAACTTCAAATCTTCAATTATCCATTAGTAACCGGTATGTAATTGAAAGTGAAATTAGTACTCTAATGATAAAATTGAAGTAACTTCAAATCTTCAATTATCCATACCAATTATTTGATGCTATAAGTGGGCCAACTAAAAGAAAATACTAATGGCTTACAAATGAAAATGCTTTAGGAAAAGATGAAGAACCATCACTCCTTCCTTTCACATCCTGCACAGAGCCAAAGGTATGAGACCTTAGTAGTTTAGTATTTGAATAGGTTGATAGAGTTGCTTCTACATTTTTTCTTATAGATACATTCTCATTTTAAGAACTTTGATCCTTTGGATTTTCAACACTCTCTGATGAAGAGATATGTGAGAATAAGTTGTCTTATATGGCATTTCATTTCAGTTTCTCCAAGCATTATTACTTGCAAATTTTCTGCAGAGAAATCACTAAAGAATTATTTGGCATGTACTCAACAATCAATTCAAAATTTATTGGTGAAGAGGGCATAGTTATAGATGAAACGAAAGTAATAATTGTTTCTTTGATCTTTTAGACTTCAAGTAACTCCAAATTTCAAAAAGTCTTTAGTATTATGTCATAATAGTAGAAGAATAACATATGTGCAAGACACAGGGTATTGAGAATACATACGTTTGTCAAGTTTTGTGAAGCAATGGGTGGTATAGATTTGTTACTTCTAACCTCTGAAGAAAGACGTTCTCTCTCTGATGCTTCTTGAACTTGAGTTTCTTTATTATAAACCGTTTCAATGATTTCTCCACTATCTTTCAAAGCAGCTTGCATTATTTGGTGGGCATGCATATCAATGTGGTTCTGCTGAAATTGGCCACATAGGATTGACCATATTTGATAAACCTCAAGCAATTGTTGTTGAACTTTTCTTTTATCTTTCACAATTTCAGACTTTTGCTTCCTCACACTCTCATGCGCTTTATAGAACTCTCTGATTTCTTCAACACATTTCTCCTTTTGCTTTCCAAAGTATGACAACTCAGCCTCACCATCTTTTATCTCTTGCTCCAACCTAGAGATATGTTCCTTCAGCCTGACTTCTTTTTCTTGAGCTTCATCCACAAACTTGATGATAGCAAAGGCTACCTTGAAGGAATCTAGAATGCTTGGAAAATCTCGAAGCAATGACTGTATTATAGCTTGAAGTCTAAGAGATAAGACTCCATCTTCAAGGCAAGATAAAAAGTTAAGAGCTGTAAGGAGACGAAGGCTATTAGGCTCTGAGTTTGCTATGTCCTTAAGAGGCATCTTCAAACAGAGTTCCAAATCTACAAGGGCATTCACCACAGATGCATCTTTGGTGGTAGCAACAACAGGCTTTGATGCTTTTGTTAATTTCCTATTAGCATCATCATCAAAGACTTGAAGATTCATTATGGGACTTGTCTTTATCTCTTTCTCAGTTTGGTTGACTGTGATTTCTTGCTGAGTGAAAAAATGGATATAAATATAGATCAATCTTAAGTTGTAATGGCATAAGTTAAGCATTATTTTTTCTAGTCATTTCTGATCATAAAGAAATATATAGAAAATAACTTGTATCATTACTTACAGCTCTATAAAAGAATTTAATTCATTATCTTGAAAATAAAGCTATAGCTGACAAGATTTTTTAACATTATCCACTTAAAACTAAGAGGAAAATTATATAATATCATGAGTGGAACATCTAAAGAATTACTATAGCTAAATACTTGTTTTAGGCTAAAAAAATAATTAGCTTACATGGGTTAATGCTAGTGGTGAAAGAATTGATGATGTAATTATCCTAGCATTTTCTGTTATTGAACATTTAATTCTCCCCTTACACCTTGCATTGAGCCAAATTATATGTTTCAGTTTTTTGAATTAATTGATTAATCTCTTTTTACAATTCTCTTTTGACACACACATAGACATGCTTGTAATTCACATATAGAAAATAAAGAGTTGATTAAATAAAGCCACAAACATGAAAAAAGAAATAGGTGAGAGGTATAGGGCAATGAGATTGCAAATATCTTTGTTAGCTCATCTATGGTGGTATCAACAATAGGATTGGTCTTAGTGTCTTTTTCTATATTTGTACAAAATAGTTAGAAAAAGAAAGAATAGCTCTGAGGTATATCCATAAATTATTAAACCACAGAATCAGTTCATAAGCTCTAATGATTATTGGCATAAATCAAGAGTATTATCTAGTATAATTATATAATCACATAGGCAGAGAAGTGGTTGAGGATCATTATATGATCAAAGGCTCTAAGAAGGAATTGGTTTTGCTAGATGCATAAAGAAATGACTTAGGCAGAGAAGTGTTTGAGGAGCTCTGAAGTTATCTTTTCCTTTCCTGAATGAATTGATGAAGTAACTATAATTGCATTGTTGAACCTTCAATACTACATCGTTGGTAGTTTTGGTTATATTTATTATTCAAAATCAATTCACAAGCTCCCCTTAACATTTTTTTACGGCTCTCTGTTTAGTAGATGAAAGTGAGAGTCGGTAGTAATTTATGGTATTATACGAATAGATCAGCTGAATAAAGCATTACTTTAAGGAATACCCGTGGAAGTTCTTTGGGATGTGAGCTTTGGATTGATCTTGTTGGGTCTAAATGAGATTTTTGCACAACTATTCTAGCATTTCTTGATGCAAAACTTTTTTCAACACTCTGAAAAACAACAAAAAGATAGTTAACTTTATTAAGTCATACATGTTGTAGTAATTGAATTCGTTGGCAAAGGTGCTATTACCTTTTGCTTTGTTATGTTAATCTCATGATTACCACTTTGATCTTTTGACTCTTTAACATTCTATATAGCGGAGAAAATTAAATAATTAAGTTCTTATCTTTGGCATCATGTGGAAATTTCTTAAGCAGAGAAGTAACTATTGAACCTAAGAGTGACTTTGCTGGTTCTAAATGAGTTGACGAGTAATTATACCTTAGCATTATTGGATATAGAACCTTGAGACCTTTCAATACCCTGCATAAGAAAAAAAATTATGTAAACCACATGAGCTTCACACTTTTTATATTTTTCTTTGATGAATTTCTTTCTTGGACATTTTCATTCCCTTTATGACAGTAAGAGAAAAATGAGAATATATAATAAGTGATTTATGACACTACATACATAAATCACATGAGGATCACAAAACAAACATTTTGATTCTTTGAAGAATTTTTATATTAATTATTAGCCATATCAAGTTTCTCCAAGTGACTGTTGTCAGACCCTCAAACTCGATTCATTGGCTAATATTTCATTTACCATCTCATTATATAAAAAACATTAGCATATATGTGGGTAGAAGAAATGCATTTATTTGAACCATACCATATCCATAATTAAAATTGGTTAGTAATTTTACAGCTTCATGAGAAATTGATAAAGAATTATTTGGAAAATGTTTATTTGTAAGTATACGATTTGTTAATGCATTGAAGTTGGCAATGTTGCAATCTATGAGGACTAAAAACATAGTTTGAGCAATACTTGTGGAAGTGCTTTGGGTAGAGAAGAAACTAAGGAGCCTTGGAGTGAGCTTGTTGGGTCCAAACTAGTTGCTGGTGCAATCATTGTAGCTTTTTTTGATGCAGAACTTCCTTCAACACTCTTAAAAACAACAAAAACATATTTAACTTTATCAAATCATACGTGTAATAGTTAATGCACCCATTGATAGAGGTGCTATTACCTTTTTCTTTAGTATGTTTGTCTCATGATCACCACTTTGATCTTTAGACTTTGCAACATTCTATATGAGAAATAAAGTTAAATAAGTTGTCTGTAGCATCATGTGGAAATGCCTTAGGTAGAGAAGTATATATTGAACCAAAGTGAGCTTGCTGGTTCTAAATGAGTTAATAAGGTAATTATGCCTCAGTAATTTTTTTTAGTTTCATGAGAAATAAACAAGGAACCATTTGGCAAATGCTTATTAGTAAATTTAGGATCTGCTAATGAAATTGGCAATGTTGCAAAGGTAAATGAACTAAAATCATAGATGTTGGGTCTTTCTGGTGCAATTGTTGTAGCATTTTTTGCTGTAGAACTTTCTTTAACAATACCTTCAACTCTTTGTAACAATGACAAAAGATACGCAACTTTTTAGTCATATACTAAAGTAACTAAATCTATTGGCAAAGCTACTGTCACCTTTTGCTTTGCTATGTTAGTGTCATAATCAGAACTCTGTTTTGTAGACTCTTCAATACTCTATAGGAAACAGAAAATTAATTGAGTGTTGTTTATAGCCTCATGTGTTAAACTTTACTTGAGTATAAAGTAATTGAACCCATTGGTAGAGCTGCTATCACTTTCTGTTCTGCTAAGTTTGAGTCATCATCAGAACTTTGTTTTTCAAGCTCTTCAACACTTTGAAGGAAAGACAAAGTCAATAAGGTGTTGTTTTTAGCATCATGTGTTAAGCTTCACTTGAGTGTCCTAAAGAGTTACATTCGCTATAATTTCCTTATGCACATAGTTATACCTGTATCAAGTTTGGTGGAGTGGCAAGGGTCAATTCCTGCTCTTTGTTCTCAAAATCAGTGCTCATTGTTCTCAACTATTCCTGAAACAGCCGCCAATAGAAACCTCTTTAATCTATATGGTTTATAAAGAAATTATATAAATTAGAAATAGTATCAATAACAATTTCTCCCAAACACTCACATTATAAATTATATATTTTAAGTACTGGAATAATAAATGTACAAGTTAGCTTGACACACCTTTCTCAAATAATTTTTTTTACAAACGGATATTGAATTTAAGTAATCACAGTTAAACTATTTTCATGTGGATATCATCTAAACAAATTTATTTTTATTAATAAGTTCTGTTTGATGTGTTTTGATAATGAAAATAAATTCTATGATAATTAGTTGAGAAAACATAACTTTAGGCTCTATATTTTGCTCGAATTTTGTTATATGTCCCTACATATTGTTTTAGGTGTTTTAGATCCTTAAACACTTTTTTTTCAGTATTCTAAGTCTCTATAACACCGCTTATGAAAGAACCTAGACCTATAATATTGAAAAACAAAAATATAAAGACTTAGAATATAGAAAAAAAAAGTACAGAGACTTATAGCAAAATTTAAGTGAAGTTCAGGAACCTAAAATTATGTATTTCCTAATTAATTAGTAGTTACTGATAATTACAAAACCTGGATTATGTGCTCTAAGAATTTACGCTTCAATTTTAGAAATCAAGACATCAAACCATATGCAACAAAGTGAGTTACAAACTTCTTAAACATACGTGGCCAAGTTGTAACAAGTAAAAGTGATATGATGATTCCCACCAAATTGAAATCTACCATTTGTTTTTTGTTTTTTGTTTTTTAGAAATTTTTACCGTGTGCTTCCTTAATGCACCCTAAATGATATGCACAAAATAGATTTTATTCCACATGAATTTTCTTCTAAAAATTTTAAAACTTGAATTTACTTGAAAAAATTTCCATGTCCACAATAAAAGACACAAATATAGATCCCAACTTATCGGTAGCAAAAAATTTTAAAAAATTATGATATTTCTGTATATAAAAATAATAAATTATATGCGTTTCCTAATACACAATGATTGGAAAAAAACATGTCTTGTATTCAAGCATAAGTGAAGAAAGAAAGAAAAAATGAAGCTAATTATTTTATAAGAAGGAAAAAACCACTAAACTAACAATCATATTTCTTTACGATGGATCTTGAAATGCTCTTTATTTATGTTTGTTAAAAATCGTAAATCCTTCATCTCATCCTAGTTTTTTTTTAATAAAATGATCTATATATATATATATATATATAAAGTAAAAAAAAAGGAGTTACAGCATAAATCCTTGTTATATTGATTAACTCAAATATGTCTATAAAGGGTTGAGTTGAACAAGCATGGTAAGATAAAAAGGATCAAGGATGTGATGATGCAAAATCCAAACACAGTTACCTCTGTCCGGGTCTCACACTTGATGTCAGTGTTACTCAATGATGAATGAATCAAGGCCTTCCTTCTTTTTCTTTCCCAAAATGGTTACATAAAAGTGATTGTTTGTCTAACTCATAAATTGGTAAACCAATCATTTAGCCAGTTCAGTTAATTGAAGAAATTGGTCACTTATGACCCAGCCTCAACCCGAACTAATCCAACCAACCCGGTGGGTTAATGGGTTGACCAGAGTCAAATTTTATTATTTTTATTTTTCTTTGTTTTTTCCTTTCTTCTTCTAAATATTAAACCCTAAATCAAATATAAGTTTCTTAATTAATAATTTTAATGTTATTATGTTTTATTATTGTCAGAGACTTATAATTATTATTTCTATAAGACATACATAAGATTTTATGGATAAATTTTTCTTTTACTCAAGAATTAATGACTTTTATTTAAATATTATAGTATTTCATATGAATATGTTTGGTATATTTAATCAAATTATATTATTTTAACTGTGACCGGTCTCATTTCGAGTTAACTCCTAATTGGGCCACTAATTCTTAAACCACTACTTTGATTAATTCAATGATCATCCGGTTTTTAATATAAGTATTAGCAGTGAGTGAGAAATAGAAAAAGAATACATATATTGTTTAATTTGCAAAAAAAACAAACTGAAGCTGTTTAATTACCTTTAAGATCGTTTCTGAGGAATTCCAATCAATCACGGCCACCGGGCAATCAACAAATGAACAGAACAAATGAGATTTTTTTTTTTTTGGGCCGAAAGATCAAATGAGAATTGAAATTATTAATTTCAGTGATATATCTCTCAGAGACAAAGCGTGGATGAGCAAACATATAGAAACTGAGAAACACATGTACTTATGTAAAAGAATAAGGACCCATACCTAATTATGATTTACACATACCTTCCGTGAGCATATAGCTTTTTTCTTTCCTAAACAATGAGCACCACACGTTCTAGTATATGGTTCTTGTCTTCCTAATTCCTTGCTTCTCACCAATTTATCTCTTGCCTCGTTAATTCCTTGCTTTATCTATCGTTAATCGTAATGACTTCTCCCTTTGTCATCAATTCAGAATCATCTTAGCATGGTGGGTTTGTCCAATATGCAGAACGAGATGCTACAATATAATTTGGACATGTATTGTGCTTGGGCCAAGCAGGGAATGTGTAATATCCCAGGAACATTAAGATAATTTAAAAAGAAATAGATTTAAGAATTAAGTTAATTAAGTTTTAGGATAAGGTATTTAAGTATATTTTTATAAATTTTGAAACGATCACAACAGAATGCTTGGGCAGCCCGGTGGCAACTGTTGGATATTATAAAATATTCATAGGTATTTTAAAAGGAATTGTTATAATTTAATAATATTGATTTTTATAACTCTTACTTAAATCTTATTTTATCAACTTGGAGTTATAGTTTTGAAGAATTTTAATCACCTTTTATTTGATTTAATGACATTAAAAGGATTTAATATTTATTTAAAAAACTTCTTTAATGTTCAAAACCGTCCAAGTTATGAGGCTTAATTTGTTTTAATTATTTTAAAACTGATGTTTGATGGTTTATTAAAGGGACCTTCTGGTTGTGATTATATTTAGCTCAGGGAGTGCAATGTACCCTATGCCAAGCGCCAGAGTTCTCAAGCTCCTTCTATGTATTGCATTGTGTGAGTATATTATGTTAATCTTTATTGTTCTGTGGCCCTGCTTAATTTGCAAGATGAATTTATTTAATTTTAAGGAGCTGTCGTGCAAACAATCTAGTGTGGCGAAATAGCTCTTAAAAACAATGTCCTTTACACAATTCAAACTTTAAATCTACGTGTTGATTCCAACAACAACTGCTCTGGGTTCTTATGTGTAGTTGTTGAATTACAGAAATGCCCTTCACTTAAGAATATGACTAAACCCCGTCAGATTTTTTCTCTCCCCATTTGTTTGTCTTCCCTTTTCACATGCATTGTCCGGTCTTCATCTATGAACTTCAACAAGCTTCAGACCACCGTTCCTTTCACTCCTCCACTCTGTTAGTCTGTCATCGGCAACCATGGGTGCGCTGTTCATTGCTGTGGTGGGTTCCATTGCGTTTCGATCTTCTCTTCTTCCACTCATGTTTCGCCGTCTTCCTCTTCTTCCAGTCTGGTCACCGTTAATTTGATGAAAGGAAGCTTGAAAACTCTTCTCTTCACTCCTCTGCCATCTCTTTTAACAGTTGAGATCCACTTTCTCCTTCATTTTTTCCGCGCTGCCATGTTTTCCTTTTCTCCTTGCTCTGTTATGGCTGATTTGGTGTGAGGAGTTTGAATACTCCCCTAGACCCGTGGATGTGGGTTTCGTAAATGGTTGAGATTGTTTAATTTTTGCTTAGCGTGCTGCTGCTGTGCATGTTTGGTAAAAGGGGGGTTCAAATTGAGTTGAAATTTTTGACTAAAAACAGATGAAGATGGTGAGTGTGATTTTTTTTTTAGTTTAAATTAATTCTTGGTAGAAAGGTTGAATTTGAAAAGCATGATAAATTTAATTATGGATGTTTGAAAATTTAATTTATTGGACAAGATATTAAAGTTTAAAAAGATCTATTAAATGGTTTGGAAATTCATGTACATAAGGTGTTTGATATGAAATTTAAGTGAAAATTATATTTCAATTGGGTAATTATCTATGACCAAAATCTAATGTGGAAATTTTGAGATATATAAGATAGTTATAATATAAGGTCTTCCTTACTAATTTTCACATTAACTTTAAAATTAAGGTAATCAAGGAATTAACTTAAAAAGGATTATCAAGTTTGTAGAATTTACAAAATAAAATCCCAAGTTTTTAAACTTTTCAAATATGTGAAAGCATTTTTACAAGTCAAAATTAGAATGTAAATTGTATGTAAAAGCATGAGAATTCAAAAATAGTCAAAGCATTTGCAAAGTAGTTGAAAATAGCAAAACAATGCAGAAAAGTAGAGGTGCACTATGGCATGTTCCACAGCACGTTTGCCTCTACGTCATGCGCTGTAGCATTGCACATTTTTTTACAGCATTATTGTTGTCATTTGATAGCAATTGATACAGACTTTTGACATGTTCCAATTCTCCATTCGACATCCGATTAAGGCAATTTAGATATTTACAGAGAGCTTTCTCCTAACTCTAGCTAATTACACTAATTTCACAAATAAATCAATTCTCAATAAAAAATTAAACACTCATTTCTCAATTCATTCCTTTTCACAATTCAAACACAATTTGTGTGTCTTAATTTCATTCCAAGTGCCAAAAGCCTAAATTATACCCTATACCATATTTAATAGATTATAACGAACCTATGCAATATATCATATCATACAACTAACACAAACAAGACATTTTCAATATTCAACCCCATAATCACAAAAATAGAAGGGGGAGACAGAATTTCTTAATCATCATACCAAATCAACATAAATCACACATTTGCTCACCTTTCACTTGCATTAATATTTTTGGCCCCTTTTTTTTATAATTCACAATGAATATATATACATCCTAGGACCTAACATACATGATATAATTCAATAAGCTCATAGTACAAGTATGCCAAAAAAAATGAACTTCCCTAGTTGGCAATATCATATGAATTATACCCATATATTACTTAAAATGAAAGAGGCCTTGTCCTAAGCCTCAGTAAGTTTCCTTCGGTCTTGTCCTGATGTACGAGCTCCTATAATATTGAAGAGAGAAAGGTGAGTACAACCACTCAGTAACCAAGGTATTTTTAATTTATACTAATGCATGTCAATTAATTTAGATGCAAGTAGAAATATAATTTCATACTTATATGAAAATACCAATTCACTAAAAACTTTTCAAGCGTAATTCATCCTTTATTTTCACAATTTCATGCTCTAACAACATGCTAGCACTTTTCACATTTAAACAGTACTAAACAAATATTTCCACAATAATTTATCACATGGGTCACAAAACAGACAATTATGTACTCTTAATCACAATATGTATAATCACACCTTTCTTATATCTTCCTTATGCCTCTGATAGGAGACTGTGGGTTATTATACATTGGGATCATTTATGAGATGAGACTACCTTAGCTATTCATGCATGAGAAGCTACCTGGCCAATATTGCTTAACTCTTTTATGGGCCATGATTTTCCTCAAATTTCACACTATGGGATGTCATTATCCTTTAACTAGCTTTTTCATCAAACAAGTAGAAACTAGAGTAGGTTCAAATCTCTTATCACACAATAGGACATTCCCTCATCAAACAAGTGAAACAATAAAAATAATATTATCCAGGAAAACCATCAAAGTCTAATGATAGCCTTACAACATGAATTTTAACTCTCTACTCCTCTTTCTAGGCGATTTGCCACTTCTCAGGATTATGTAGTGCATAAAGATGCAATATTTTATAGCATGCAAAGTAATCACTATAGAAGCATGCTTAATATTCTTATCGTACTCACATTATATATGTTCATCTCATAAACACATAATAACACGTCATCGAACTCCACAATACATTACATCATTGAACTCCTCATTATACACATTCATTGAATTTCATAAGACATCATATCGTTGAACTCCATTTTCAAACATTTATAGAACTGCACATTTCACACATTCATTGAACTCTTCATTTTCACACATTTCATTAAACTTCACCAAAACATCACATCATTGAACTCCATGTATCAAACATTCATTTTCAATATATCAACAATCATATTGTTTGATTTCAAATATTTTATGCCATACTTGCAATTTAAATAATTTCACACATGTCACTTATAGCATATAAATCAAAAAATTAATTTAACATATAAAAGTACAAGAAAAATTTTTCTCGATTACCTCAAACCTTTGAAGGGTTCAAAGTTTACCCCACAATTACATACTTTTAAAGCTTTCACGAAGCTTGAATGGTGCTAATAAGTGATTACTCTATAATTAATTACATTTTCCATCTTTAGATCCTTTTTAGGATAATTTTCAATTTCAATATCTAAATCAACAGTTTCAACTCTCATAACTCAATCTCCTCATAAACAAGAGTACTCATAGGATCTATTACCTTCTTCTAACTTACATTAACTTCATTAAACTCCCAACTAGCTATTAATGGCTTCACATTACTCCAACAACCTCATTTATGGTGGAATTTTGTGTATATGTTACCTTTTAACTACCAAAACTTAAATTTCCATAAAACAATAACCTGAACAACTCTCATTAACTCTATTTAAGTTGATGTATTCAAACTCATAGCTTTTGTGGATCAAAATTCATCTTTCTCAAACAAACCCTAACTCCCAAAGTCAAGAAAATGAAAGAGGAAGGAGGTGGAGGACTTAGGAGACTTACCCTTAATGCTTACAAGTTTCAAAATACTCCAATACTCCAATCCTTCAAGTTTTAGCAAATCTCCTCATGTCTTGTTCATTTATCTTTCATTTTCCTTCTGTGTTTTTTGTGTGTCTATCACGGCTCTATTTCTTCAGAATCGTGGTCATGCACTGCAGTATATGATATAGAGAATCTTGATTTGTGCCTGATAACTCATACACAGTGGCATGTCATGCACGCGATGCAATATGTGGCACAGAGCCATTTCTCTTTATTTTTCTCACTTTTTTCAAATACCTTTTCAGAGCCAAATGAATCCAATGTTTCCTTCTGCCTCTTCAATGCTAGTAAATCATTTGATGTATTGTTTCCAGTTACATATGAAACTATGAAATGAGATCATTGGAAAACTTTATTTACAAACCTTTCAAA